CTGGGGCTGCCCCTTGGGCTGGCAGGGAGCGGGGCCCGTCTCTCCGCGGGGAAGGTGCCTTTGGACCCCTCCGGCCGGGTCCCTGCCGGGTGCAGGGGGGGAACACGGGGGGCGACGACGCAATTAGCGGGGGATGTGGAGGGGGGGAAGCGGAGGGTCCCTCCCCAAAACGCCACCACGGGGTTTGGGGGGAGAAAGCTGCTGGTTTTGTTTAGTCTTCGACACAGCCAAAAAAAGAACATTAAAGGCATTTCTAGATTTCGTTTCGCGTTGTTTTTTTTTTCCTTTTTTCCTTTTTTTTTTATTCCCATGCTCTTAATTTTGAAAAAAAAGTAATCACAAAACATAACTTATAAAACAATATATATACTGCATCCTTATCCACAACAGCATAATTGAAACATCCAGCGTAACTTTTACCACAGGTGTGAAATACACTGGGAAAGAAGTACCGTGTGCATTTTATATTATGGTTCTTTGTCATCTACAGGTAATAAGTATCGACAAAAATAAGCAACAAATATGCCTGCAATTAAACTTCATATGCGTTTTTATGCGTATTGATAAAGATCATATTTATAATTTCCATGTTTGTTTTTTTTTTCAACAAGCACTTGTTAAAGTATCTACATTTACATAATAACACCTTAAGATAATAACACCTTAAGATTTTTTTTTTTCCTTGTTTTTCCTTTGCAGTTAGAAAAGCAAGGAAGGCTTTCAGCTTTGCTAAGCAACCTTTCCGGACGCCGAGGCTCGCTGTTTCTCTAGCAGAGATGCAGTATCTGGATTCACTTCATAACAGACCGTTTTTCCTCTTTTTTTCCCCTAGTCTTTAAGAGGGATTTGGGGTTTTTAATCTTTTTTTTTTTTTTAAGAGAAAAAAAGCCTCCTGTATTTAAATAAGGATGAATGATAATTTCATTATCAGGATAAGACTTTGAATGGGGAAAATGCTGAACAGTTTTCGCATCGCTGGAGGGTTTCTGCGCTCTCTTACAAGCGGGGATACTGCAGTCTTTTGGAAAGGATGAAGAGGTAGGAACCTTGAGCTGCTTAGTATCAGGAATGACTGGATTATAGCTTCCAACTAAAGAAAAAACATCAAGAATCATGCATTTTAAAAACAGTTTATTCAACGGCCAAGGACAACGTTCCGGCACAATGCAACGGTAGATATAAATATAACCTTATATAAGTGGTTGACCCTTGTCATTATTATTTTTAATAGTTTCATACCTAATATTTTAACCATTTTTTCCCGCAGAAGCTACTCTGCGAATTATATTTTTTTCTTTCCCCCCCCCCTTTTTATTTTTCTGTTGTTGAGTGTGATTCTGTTTCTCAGTGGTAAACATTAACCAAACTCTTCCCGTGCGACAAGCGGCCAAGAACCGTCCCACCAGCTCTTACCACCGAGGCGCCCCCCGCCCTTCGCCGCCCCCTCCGCGGGGAAGCGGCCGCCTTACCAACTCCTGTGCAAGTTCAAGTAAACACATACAACCCGCATCATCCAGAGAAAAAATTGCAACTCATCCATGTACCAGATTCCGGTGTCTCTTGCAAAAGTTTTCTGGTCCATTTACGGTTTTTTTGACATTTTTTTAATTATTCATTTTTAAAGAGCTGTTTTGTTGGTTGCGTTGTTGGTGTGCATTTTTTATTTTTTTTTGTAGACAGTCGAAGTCCGCGGAGCTTTTGGGGTTTTGTTTGGTGGCGTTTTGTTTTACTTTATTTTTTTTTTCCCTTTCTCATTTGCTCGGGTTTTTGCTTTTAATCATCGTCGGGTTTTAATATGCATTTTTTTTTTTTCTTCTTTTCCGTTAAACGTCGCTTTTGCTTCTGCTTTGCTTTGTCGGCGGTGTTCTGTCGGAGGTGGTTTGTGTCAAGTCCGTCAACTGTTGTACTGACAGGCGTTTAGACTAGAGCCGGGGCTTTGCAAACTGCTGTAGCCGAAACTGGAGTGCTGCTTTGATTTCAGTCTGAGGCTGGCTAAGCGGGAGTTGCAAGTGTCCCGGTAGACGCTGTAAGGCGAGCCCGGTGGCCCGTAGGGACAGGCCGGGGAGGACATGGCCGAGTTGAGCGAAGAGCCGCTGATGTTGTTGATGTTGTTGAGGCCGGAGTTGGCCATGCCCGGCACGGCCGAGTGCCCCATGCTGGACGGCATGTTCATGGAAGAGATGCTGCTGGGCGCCGAGAACATGGACTGCGAGGAGAGGGGGCTCATGGAGTTGAAGAAGGTGAAGCT